GTCAGCCCCTGTTTGGCGACAGTACAGGCACTTCCTGCAGCACATCTTATCAATGTATTTTCCCAACATAAAAATCCAAAGCATTAGATAAAATTCTTTCGTGCTGTCGTGGTGATTGGTCCAACCCCTCATTATCATTCCTCGATATTACCGCCAATGGCACGTCCGGGCCCCAACAACGCACCGACGGCTAAAATGCGACATCCCCTAGCCCCGACCCCACCAGCTATTTCTCAGCCAGCCTGCAGCCGCGCAACGTGTTGAACCATGGGACAAAAGATGTACCTTGCATAAGCGAGCCGTGCGAACACCTGCTTAATGCGGTACGCGATGGTGTGGCTGCAGGGCAAATCATATACAGTACAATAAATTGAGTTAGGCAGCGGGAAGCCGTTGTCAATGTGAAACATTGCTGCACGTAGCCGCTGCCAGTCGTTCTTGCGCATGCAGAAAAGAATGTACCTCGATGCGTTCGTGCATGCATCCCGTTACCGGGCTTGAGGGTCGGGTGGAACACGATCTGGAAGGTGGTCAGAGTCCTATTTAGCCTTTGTATACTATTTGGGCGAAGTTGGTGGTCGAGTTCATAAAAGTGGTTTGATATAGCCGGTTTGCCCGATGAGCTCCTCGGACAGGACAGCACGGGTCAGGGTAGTGATTCAGTGGGGATACGGTACGCGATGCACGTTGTGGATGGTCGGTGCGGGAGGTACGTCAGCGATCATGTACGGAGACCACGGAGATTTTGTGGAATTGGTTAGAGCGGAGGGTGATGTGAGGGGTTGGCACTTGGTGCCCGTAGCTTTTTGCATGTGTCTGTTCATTCATATCGTCGATTCGTCTAGACATCGTCATCGTTCGGTCCGGTGAGCGGTTCTATTTGATGCGCTCCTCGGGATTGCCGAGCATGTGCGTTGAACCCACTTATGCCGTCTTTCCTTTCCGCTTCTTGAACTCTTCTATCCAACCGGCGGCCTTGTCCTTTGGTATCACGCTTATCGTTACCAGGCCGTCGACGATCTCTGGTTTTCCGCTTCCAAGTACTTTGCCTAGGCTCATCTTCTTTCCTACTTTGATGAGGCCGCCGGCTGCAGTTTCCATGTAGGACTCTACGTTGTCGATGGTGTACTCGTGCTTCTCGTCCCATGGCAGCGGGAAAATGTATTCGAGATGTTCGTCTAGCTTCTCTTTCTCAGAGAACGCCTTGATGAAGTCAGACTGCGAGTGCATGGGATACAGCAGTATGACTGGCACCGTGAGTGTTGAAGAAGGATCCAGACTGTTCTCAAGCTTGACAGTGGCGTCTTCCAGATCTGGGGGCTTTTCCGTGCTCCGTGTGAGGATATTCCGGCTCCTCAAGGCGAGTTTGAGTGTTAGCCGCTCTGATGCAGCCTTTTCTTCTCGTTCGCGACGCGCCTTTTCGACGGATTCTATATACTGCTTGCGAGTATCGATCTTGGTTTTGAGGGCCTTGAGAGGGGCGTTGTTGGCATCTAGGGCCAGGCCTCTGTCGCAAGCCCAGGCTGCTTCCTGTAGCTTGTCTAGTGCTAGACCGGCAGTGGCTGATCTGTAGAAGGCTTTGACGTTTGCGGGGTTGATCTTGAGCGTTGAAACGCAATCTTGAATGCAAGAGCGATAGTTTTCTGCCGCGTGTCAGTAGACCGCAATCGAAACTTTGGTGAAGAAGCCATGATGCCTGTCTTCAGGGTGTGCTTGCAAACTCACTCTTCTCCAAATTGCATAATGCTCGGTTGACATAGACAGCCTCCGCAATCGCCCTTTCCTTCTCCGCCTCCTCCTTCTCGTCAAGCTCCACGGGAATAACGTCCGGACCTTCCGCATCTGGATCAGGGTTTGTTTGTGGTCCTTTGAGCGCCGCTATTGCCTTGTCGTAGAACTCTTTCGCGTCTGTCCATTGCTTTGCCCGCGCGCATTCGTTGCCTTGTTGCCGGAAGTTCTCAGCGATCTCCGCACGGGTTCCCTCGTACGCCATCGCTTTCAACGCCTCGAGCGCCATGTTCTCGCCTCCCTCGCCATCTGTTTCATCTAGACTGGTCATGAAGATTGGCATACGGTTCATCTCTTTCAGCAAATCGTCTACTTTTTTCGACTTGACATCAGCCATTGCAGGTGGCAAATCTGCGGACGCCGCCGGTGGGCCATTTTGATCTGTTTGCGCCATGTCGCCTGTGCTGTTTCGAGGAATTCACAACTGTTGTCGCAAATATCACGATATGCTCGTTGTGACTGTCTGCTCGAATTTTCGGCGGATAGTCGCTTAGTCACGCGATGGCGGGGCTGCTGGCTTCGGGAACCCTGACGTCTGAACTTGCAATCACTGGCTGCCTGCGGTCGAGCAGACAACCCAGTCAGAGGGCACCACCAGCCACCCGCCTACCAGCTAGCAGAGCAAAGCAAGAAGGGATGGCGCAGGACAACGAGAGGGGCACGCTAAAATAGGGTAAGCCGGCACCGGCGCTTCCGCGTCATGCTATATTGTCTAAGCTTCTCGTCGACGCCGAAGGTTCAGGGCGCTGTAGCCGATTACGACGCAAATCTCCTATTTGCTTTTCTGAGACAACCACGAGGTCCAGTAGGGCCGAGCAATACCGACTGACACCTGACGAGGCATACATTGTGCGACAGTTGGATCGTGAGCTGTTATGTCGCGTGTCGGGTGGAATCATGGAATGTTCTGCTGATTGCCAGGCCGCCGTATTGCGCCCTCAGCTGTCCGCACATCAGGCCCACTCTCCGCCGGTGGACCAAGTACTCCTTGTTACACTCGGGGTCCATTATTCGTGAACCCCATCGGCGAAGTATCGATTCAGAATGATGGTTGCGAGCGATTCCACCACACGGCAAGGCTGTTTATTTGGAGGCGTTCAACGAAACGTCAATCGATCGCGTTCAGGATGCCACTTGCACGTCGCGCGACGCCTTCAAACTGTATCCTTCCCGTCCGCGGGGGATTGCCCATTTGACAGGCTCAGCCTGGCCAGAGATCAAACGTCATGGTAGTGTGGATCTTGCTCTCGATTTGTTGGGGTAAGAAGACGGCCTGCGATCCTCAACTTTCACATGTGCCGAACTCCTTACTCGACTACCCGACTGACCATGACTGAGGACTGCTACAAATGCATTCTGGCATGATAACTAAGCATCTCACAAAAAGAACTCTGAGGCTGAGGTTTCTATTACCTTCAACTTGTAGAATTGCGTCGTCGATCTGGACTCGAGTTCGGCTCCTTTGCGCCGCCAAGAGCGCACGGATGAATCCTTTCGTCTCAAAGTAGGAAGTCGACTACCTCTGCTTGACTCTCACCTGACTCGGCAGTACAGGATAAGGCTGCTCATTCATGCAACTGCCTACCAGTATGGCAATCCATATATGTCCCCTTTTTGAGGCTTCCAACAGGCATGGGATTGCCAGACCGAAACGTGATCAAAGTATCAAGATCGATGTTCTAATTACAGGCGATGGCTATAACCTAACGGTACCGCACTGGCGCACCGGAGCGTTGGGCGCCATCGAGAGTTTGATAGCTCGGACCGGGACACGAACGTGCCACTTGGTCCAAAGCTTTCCACAGTGGGCCAAGTTTGCGGCGTGGGCAGAGGCTGAAACCCTGAATCACAGCTCATCAACAACGCCAGACTACGCCGGAGGCGTCCAGAATCACTGATAGGGCAAGGCATACGCGGAGCTTTGGACGGCGATAATATCCATCTAGCAAATTACCGTCCACGCAACTTTCGTCTGAAGCCAGCTGCGCCCAGGGTCGTATGAACTTGCGCCTCACATCTACTGATGCTGCTCCTCTCGCGCATCTGTCACACCCCCTTCGTCAACACCGTTACTGCCACCCGCATTCGTTACCACCTACCCCTTGTCGGGTCATTTGCTTCACCTCGCTAAGGTATTGGCCGTCGTCGCGGGACGCATTTAAGGGAACGTTGGACCTAAATGCGCAGCCAATGACGCTTGGCTGAAAAGCGGAAAGCGGATGGCCTGAGCCAATAGTGTCCCTGTAGTCCAGGGGACCCTCGGCTCAGCCTGCATGCAGGGATACTTGTGCTCGCTAGTGCGGAGATGTGCATAAGCAGATGGACTCGGACATCGAAACAAATTTGAGCAGGCACAGATGGGGTTTGATTGATCCCAGGAATCCTATTCGTGCCTTTGGCCATAGTCCCGCCTCCTCTTGGACTGTGCGGACTTGTGCCTGCGTTCCGGGATCCTAGCTGATGCATGGGCGATCACAGCGATTTCATGCTCAAGTTGTGCCTGTCCCTCCCTCTCCTCCCTACGCTCCGTGCCGTTGACGACACACGGGTATCATTCTCGTAGGGCCCGCTGCCCGTTGCTTGACAGTTCTTTTCTTACCATCAAAAGTGTTTTAGCACGCGCCATTAGTCGCTTTCTTCATCTCATTTGCATCGTATGTATGGAATGAGTTGAGCACGTTTCTCTGTCTATCGACTTTCACCATTGTCACGTCATTCCTTTGAAACGTAAGTACGCACCATTGATTCGTGACTGGACCTGTTCGTTGCGACAGGACTCTTTGCTTGGAAGCCATTTGGTACTGACCTCCTACTGCAGTATCGAAACCATCCGAACGCTGCGTACCGTCGATATATCTACCCCACGTAATCCGACCCGACGCTATCCACTATCCTTGAGGACAACTGCTATCCCACGTAACTAGCATTCAATACCCGATCGCAGTACGAACGACTCGACCGGTACGTGAACCATCGCCACGTCTATTGGTGGTCGATACAATTGCTATCGTTACAACAATCAGTTGTGGAAGCGCGTCGACAGAGACTCCACCAAGACACGCCTGGCTACGGCAACAGGAGACACGCCATTGACATATTCTGACTCTACTGCAGGCATGTGTTAAGCTATACGTACCTACAGCACCACTTCGTTGTGGTTCTGAACACCCTACTACATAATATACTTTCCTGGCCTAGACAATACGCCCGACATGGCTACCGACTACTTTTCCGACCAGGAAACCTTCCTGACCAACCACCCGCTTCCCACCCCCGCTGGAACTCCATACAGCTCCTTATCCCGAAGAACCTCAACACACGAAACACCAGGAAGCGATGTTCCCAGTTCACCACCTCCACTTCCACACGACAACAGTTCCAGTTGGGACGATGCTGCCAACGACGAGAGTATCTCAGTCCTGGATCCGCGCCGCTTTACTCCAACCTTACATGCCAATCTAGTCTCGGAGATCTTGAATCTCCGCCGGGAACTTGATTCGAAACACAGGTTCATCGATGATCTGGAGACAAATCTAGATACAGCGCGATCCGAAAATGACGCCCTTGCCAAACAGCTTTCCTCGTCCAACAAGGAAAGCAAAGCCGTCAAACGCCAGCTCCAGCACTTCGAGACCGAAACACTTGCTGCATTGGAGGAGATTGCAGGTGAAAGAGACAAGTTCAAGGAGACCAATGCCGACTTGCGAGAGAAACTAGCTGCAGCAGAAAAGAGGACAAGAAGCCAAGATGACGACTCTACCAAGGTGCACGACATGTGGGCTCGCGAAAAAGAAGAGTGGGCAGGAGAAAAACGAATTCTGGAGCGACGTGTTCATGTGTCAGAGACCCGCTTGAGGATGCTTTTGGACGAGATTGCTATCCAGGAAGAAGCTGCCAATGAAGAGGCTGGTGTCGAAAGTGAGGCTGAAGACCCGAGCAAGGACACTGGTATACCGGAGAGCGACGCAGGAAGCGTACGTTCATCGCCCCAGCGAAGATCATCTACACGTCTTGGACGTCATTCCAGGAACAGAAGCAACAGCAGTTACAGGAGCATCGGACGCAACTACCGGATGTCGTTGATGAGCTCTGATGGGTATGGCAGAGGCAACGGTCTGAGCCTTGCAGATGAGCTCACATTCGACGAAGAAGAGGAAGAGTTGGATGATCTGGAGCTTGACTCGGACGACTTCCCTGAAAATGAAATGCGGGCTCGAAGAGTTCGCGAGTCGCGACAGTCGATGTTACCTGACGAAAAAGCAAAGCGCATCCTAGGATTAAGCAGCGAAACCCAGCAAGTTACATGGGATAGCCCTGTCATGGCGGCCGATGATACCGAGCCGCGGAAGTCGTCATATGAAACGGTTCAATCGTCAGTAACATTGACGCCTCGCGATATCACCCTCGTTTTCCCTCCAACTCGACCAATATATGTCGATACCGGTGTGCAACCGTCGCCTCCACCATCACCTGCCAAGTTGGTCATGGTGGAAGCGACGTCGCAAACTATTGAGCCATCGGTCCAGACAAAGTCGAACGATTTCCCATCTACTGCTGCTGAGGTTGAGGCCAACCAAAGTCGGAAGCGTGTTTCAGTACCCTTGACTTCCAGCCCGCCGGTCCAAGCCAGCCCTGAAATTTGCACAACGACCTCAAGCTCGGTACAGACAATCGAACAGCCTCTCAGTCCGCCACCTACGCCTAGGATTCCTCAGCCATCAGACAATGCACCATTGTCACCAGTTTACCAAACTGAGCTCGTGTCTACGGCAACGCAGACAGACTCGCCGATCGAGCCTGAAGTAGTACCGGAAAAGCCTACTAGAGCGCCACCGCCAGCACCGATAACAATCCCTTCTATTGCTATCCATGCTCCTACATCTGCTCCTTCGTCGCCCAAGGCCCCTATTCTTCCTCCAGGAACCAAGACTGTCTCGACTCAAACCACCGGCGACCTGGTAGCTCCAATGACTTCTACCGCCATGCAGACTGAGCCAATTAGGATTGACCAAAGAGCTGTGAAGCTTCCTGCGCATCTCCTTCCTTCTGCTATAACCTCCAAGCCTGGAACGCCTGAGGCAGATCACGTCAAGACAATCAAGAAGGACTCCAGTGACGCCGAGAACTCTACTCTCAAGACAACCTCTCGTCAAGACTTCATTGCTCGTCTTGAGAAGGCTGCTGAGAAGAAGATCGAGAACCGTTACCCAGGGAACAACGACAATGGACCTTTGTCGCGTCAGCTTCATGCGGACGTACTCAACCGACCCTTCCGGACAAGCAGCCTTTTCGCCGGTTTCGATGGCCCCTCATCTGATGAAGAGGATGACGATGCGGAGCTGAGCGACGACGACTACAGGAGCCACCAGTTCTCTACTCCAATGCTTTCATCGCGTAATGCAAAGAGCGGACGGCCAGTAAACCCACCTACCCCGGTCCCTGAAGACAAGGAATCCACGCCGATGCCTAGGCCATCCGAGGACTCCGTCAACAGTGTTTCTATAGCGTCTAAGCGAAGCTCAATGGAGAAGCCCTCTAGAGTTGGCAAGACACAGCGTAACTCTATCGGCCGCCAGCCCAGCATCCGACGATCTGCTATGATCCACAGCGGAACCGCAGCGCACAACATACCGAAGCCACCCTTCCCGGTTCCCACTCGATCCAGCTCTCGCAACAAGCCAGTGAGCAAAAGCGAAGGTTCGCAAAGCCCAACACCTCGCAACAGTGGATCGTATGCTGGTCGCCGTCCATATGGCGTAAAGCATCAGCGGAAAGACAGCCTACGCAAGGTGCGATCTGCTGCTCCTGTCTCCAAGGGCGCACGCTCTCGTAGCAGATCACCCACACTGCCTGCGACTCCTAGCATTGCAGACACATCTTCCATTCCTCCCCTACCGAGTGACATTGCCAGCGCAAGTGGCTTCCGCCACCGACACCAACTATCAAATGCAACCGCAGCGACAAGCTACACAGCCAACGGATCTACCAACACTTCTGTCTCGCACACCAGTGTCGTCGATGCGATCGCTGCAGCCATGATTGGAGAGTTCATGTGGAAGTACGTGCGCAAGAGGAAGACCTTTGGTGGCCCTGACACGCCGGTGGATGTCAGTCGAGCAGCAGAGGAGGCTTCTTTGGCTAGCCATGGTGTGAGGCACAAGCGTTGGGTCTGGATCTCTCCATATGAAAGAGCCATCTTGTGGAGTAGCAAACAGCCAACGACTGGTTCCGCGTTGATGGGTAAGAGTGGTCGCAAGCGTAAGTCTCTCGAGTTCATGTCATTTTCTATCTACTAACATACCACTAGTCGTCATCCAGTCTGTTCTCGATGTCGCCGACACCTGTCCTGCCCCGAAGAACGAGACACTCTTCAACCGCTCTATCCTCATCCTTACTCCTGCTCGCGCACTCAAATTCACCACATCGTCCCGCGAAAGGCATTACCTTTGGCTGACAGCCCTTTCTTTCCTCGCCCATTCGAGCGCACCCATGCCAGATCTGACTTCTTTGCCACCGGTACCTCCGCCGGTCGACGAAACACTCCAACGTCAACAAGGTGCGACACTCCGCCGTAGTCGTGTTCAGGACTCTGTGCGTCTCGCCAAGGGAAGGACCAACCCAGTCATGGCTCGTTACGCAGCTCAAGACGAGCCAATGCCTAGCTTGCCATCTCTCGCTGGATTCGAAACGGCTATGCCAGACTCTGCCAGCCCTCCAACTATTCCTCGTGGGCCACAGCATGGCAGGAAGAGGAGTTCTACAGGACCAAGCGCACCTCCTCCAACTGTTCCCTTCCGTAGTTTCTCGCACCAGCATGTACCGTCGGTCTACTCCAACGTATCATCTGATATGTACAGTGCCGGCGTACCACCATCAGTACCTTCGTCAGTCTACAACCCCAACAGCGGCGCCATGAGTTCGCGAACCTCAGAAGCCAGCACATCGACTCGTCAACATTTCTTCGACACCATGGGCACAGTCCGCATGGAAGCCTTCATCGACAACGCTCTCGGCGACCCAAAGCAGCTGAGCAGCTACGGCGGACGAGCACCGCACATGCAACATCGTCGCCGACGTGGCAGCAGCCAGTGGAGCGCGAGCACGCGCGACCAGTCGAACCGAGGCGGCGGTCTCTTCGACTTCGACGCTAACGATCCTTTCCGTGGTTTCTAAACAACGCACTGCACTTACGACTCGCTCACGTGTGACGGGCATGCTTTACGGTCGCTCGGATGTCTTCCCCCGCCTGTCGCCCTTTCGTCTTTCGACTATCTCCATCTTTCGCTTGTACCGTCTTATTCTCTCACTGCTAGGGCAACGACCCATACGACTCAACGTCATTGTGCGGAGGTCCCATGTACCTCGTCTGCATCTTTCCTACCGTCACTCTACTTCGACCCACCTTTTGTATTCTCCCACTCGCTCAACAAACCCTAGGGGCCTGACTGCAAGGCTAGAAAGCGGTTGTGCTCGCGCGCATCTTATCACTCGTACCGCCTATTGTAATGTTTCTTCTCTCGGCCGGCTTTCGCTGCTGCGCACCATTGATACCCCTCTCGCTACCTTTACCACGTGGTCTTTGAGCGACCTTTATTCCCTTGCTTGTTTTTCCTTTGCACGAGCGTTCTATATCCACTTTGTCTTGGTGGGAGGTGTAGCCTGGGCGATATTCACTCGCTACTTGGTGGGGGATGGGCAGGGTTAGCCTCAGGGGCAATGATCCAAGTTGGTAGTTTGTGAAGAATCCTACAATCATTACCGCTATCTATGATACTCGATCAGTGTGCATGTGATGATCTACTGTGCGTCGCTGGATCTCTACTGCACATCATCACGTTAACCTAGGGAAAAGCTAAACAGGTCTAGAGCCTACGTGTACGTTAGGGCACCTACTTTGCAGGTTTATATGTAGATGTAGGCTGCAGACCTATTTAGTTTTTCCCTTGTATGAAGTGCCATGTTCCGTGTTCAAAAAAAAATTGGGTGTGTCTGACATGGCCGAAACCAAAAAAGCTTCATTCTCCGCCAACACCCCCCCACGCATACCATCACGTCTCCCTACACTATCCAAGGCCTCTACGGATCCAAAAAGAGAGGTCTTGCCCGGAATCGAACCGGGGTTGCCGGAAGACACTGATTTTGAGATCAGAATCCGGAGTGATAACCGCTACCTGGATGGTTATTAGCGGGGGCAAGTTGGTAAGTGAGGAAGAGGATCTACGCACACTACAAAACCGATTGTAAGCGAGTTGCTTGACTGATTGATGGGGCGATGAAAAATATTGCGGATTATCTAGATACGTAGAACGATGCGGAAGGGACTTGGTGGTTTGCATGGTTGGGCTGTGGTGGGGCTGCGGTGAGAATTTGCTGGAAAGTGGTGCGAGGACGCCGATGTAGGCCGGGATCGGGAGGCACAGCTTTACTCGCATCACAACATCACATGTAGACTGCCTCTGATTGTCTAACATCTATGTTATTTTGATGTAATAGTCGGATATCCTACAGACATGAATTTCCTCACTTGCTTATCACAAAGTACACTCTTGCCTACTACATGCATATAATAGACTTTGTCGATCCCTTTGAATGTATTTCTTAGGCTGCTACGACTATCTCTGCCTTTCGAAATAGCACAAGTTGCTGTGTTGTATAAGGGTCGTTGCATCGCGTTCCCGAAGTTCGTGTGCCGAAGTTTCGCCTTTTTGTCCCCACCCCTGCCAACGAACACTTCTTTCAAAATCCAATGGATGGGATTCAGAAACTACGTGGTGTACTCCTATTACCTTGCAATTTAGGCGTTATGAAGTGAAACACATGTTCATTTTTCGCTCACTCGAAATCTACCAAAAAAAAAGTCCAGATCCGCCCACGCCTATTCACTGTCCTCCCCCGCAACAAAAAACGAATGCACTACAGCAACTGTAGCTCCTCTTGACTCATCGGAGGTTTGAACTCCGGACCTTCAGTGTCCTAACTGGTGGTTTTTGAAGACCCCTTGTTAGACTGACGTGATAACCAACTACACCAACGAGCCCTGTTTTATAGCAAACAGAGAAACTATAAGACTTATGTAGTTGTTTCGGGAGCGCTGGCAGCAAAACTGACCGACTTGAGGGCTGGGAAATGTGCAGTCGCTAGGGCAAAAAGGGGGGGTTGAATGTGGGCAGCTCGCTGGAGCTATACCCACTTGGCCGGGTGGGGAGCTATCAGCTTACTACAGAAGCACCCTGATACGAGGAGCAACGAACCTTCATTGGAGCTTACACTAGTAAGCATTCTCACTGCATCAGGTTATGTTGGCCTGGTGTTGAATAGGTGGTTGTGGTAACTCGAATATATTGACTTATAACAGTATTTGATATCGCGGACAGGGACGCGGAAACAACTCACAACAGGTATCGCAAGAACAACAACAGCCCCTCACTAGTAAAGGTGCCTAAAGCTTGCTACCTGCTAACCTCCTCTTCTCCTTCTCTTTGTCCCTCAACAACCGTCGCAGAATCTTGCCAGACGGCGACTTCGGGATCTCGTCGATGAATTCGATACCACCACTAATCCACTTGTATCGCGCCTTGTGTTCTTCAACATGCTTCTGAATCTCGCGAGCGAGGACGCGATCGTTCTCTTCCAGACCGACTGACGGTGATTTGACGACGAAAGCTTTCGGTACCTCTCCGGTCTTCTCATTGGGGATTTGGATGACGGCGCAGTCGTTTACAGCAGGATGCGTTAGGAGATGTGCTTCGAGTTCTGCAGGTGCGACTTGGTGGCCCTAAGATGTTGTTAGCTTAGAATTTCTTTCACAGGGAGTAGAGACCGTACCTGAACCTTGATGAGTTCCTTGATACGATCAACGATGAAGACGTGTTCGTGACCATTTGCCCCCTTCTTGAATACAGCCTCATCTCCGGTGCGCATGTACCCATCTTGGAACGTTTCCTTGTTGGCCTTGTCGTTGTTAAGATAGCCCAACACGACTGAAGGAGACTTGACTAGCAACTCGCCAGGCTGGTCGTAGCCAGTAATCTCGGTACCCTCAATAGTAACGATCTTGCACTCGATGCTAGGTAGCAGGGAACCGGAGGAGCCGAACCAGATGTCATCGGGAGAAGACGAGGAAACGACAGTGCATGTCTCCGTGAGACCATATCCTTGTCGGATCTTCCATGAAGGGAAGATCTTGGATAGATCTTCTGCTGTCTCTTGTCCTAATGGTGCAGCTCCGGTGAAGATCGACCAGACGGAGCTGAGGTCGTACTTGTCGAGCAAGGGCTTGTTTTTGGTCATGAGGATAATGATCGGTGGGACCAAGAACAACGAGTTGATCTTGTAGTCTTGGATGGCCTGCAGAGTCGACGCAAACTCAAACTTAGGGAGGACTACGACACCATCTCCACGGTAGACATTCGCATGGCAGATGACTACCAGGCCATAGATATGCGACATGGGCAAGAGGCCCAGGGCGATCTCGGTGTAGTCGGACTGATTCCGTACGTCGTTGATGATCGTATCTCTGTACGGCTTCTCGTAGGTAGTGATTTGCACTGCTTGTGGTCAGCTAGTGCTTGATGCGATATGAGGACAAACTTACTGGTGTTGGCGATGACGTTCCTGTGCGATATCATGACACCTTTCTGTACAATACGTTAGGATATACATGCGCGTACGTGCAATACATTCAATCCTTACCGGTAGTCCTGAAGTACCGCTAGAGTAGCAAAGGAACGCTGTCCGCAGAGCTCCGTCGCCTTTCTCCCAGTCCAACTTGGGCAGACGGTCAAGCTTCTCGCCCTCACGGATGAGATCGTCGACCGTCTTGAGCCCCTTTGGTGTTTTCTTGCCAGCAAACGATTCGGGCACCTCCAGTATGTATATGCGATTCTCGGGGATGCCGCAGTTCTTCGCCGCCTGTCGCGCGGTGTCTAAGAGGGGGACGCAGGTGAAGAGGGCTTTCGCGCCGGAGTTCTTCAATTGGTATTCGAGCTCAGCAGTACTGTACGCAGCATTGGCGGGCGATTGGATACCACCCAGACGATGCGTAGCCCATGCCAATGGAAGCGTGTCAATCTAGACAACGTCAGTATCCTCGTAAATCCATCAACCTGGAGATGCTTACCGTGTTGACGGAGAAGACCGCAATGACCTTGTCCCACTCAGTCGCCTCGTTAGGCTTGAAGCCAAGCTCCTTTGATAAGCCTCGGGCGAGAGCCTCGACGCGGTCTCGCATATCCAAACACGAGTATGTCTTCCCGGTCAACCCGCAGGTGAAGGGGTCGTTCGAATAGCCGAGCGGGTGACGGCCATAGTGCTCATCGAGCATGAAGTCGCAGATGGGAATCGAGTCTGGCGGGTCGAAGGGGAGCTGCGGCACCCATGAAGGAGGATTGAAAGGCATGTTGAGCGATATCCACGCGTACGTCAGTTGTGCGCGAAGTCTTGGGACGGGTGCAGGAACTCACCTATAGTAAGCCTCAATTGGCGATGCAGGGAGAAGACAAAGGAGGAATCAAAGCTGCAGCTTTAACGCATGTGCCCATCTTCCTGAATGACGTTAGCATCATCGGATGCCGTGTCTTGTCGGAGCCGACAGCTACTGCCAGCCCCCAACTGTGGGGAAAGCTGGGGTACCGAGGTCACACCTCGAAGCGGCCAAACCTCTCCAGGGCTCCTTAACGCCGGCCTTAGCTCGGAGCCACCAAAACGCGACTCACCTCCTCGACCCAGACACCGAGAAAGAAATACTTGCAACTCGGGACCGAGTGTAATCAGGAGTCGCAAGCATGACGAATCTCCTCAGGTTTGGCTGCTATCTTGGAAGTCGCTCTTATCGCGACGTAGTACAGCAAGAGCCACCCTCGACCCTGCCTCCGCGCTGGCAGCTCTCTTCACTGTCACCATCTCCAACGTTTGCCCACTCTCACTGCGTCGCTTAAGTGAGAGCGTCTCAGCAGAGTTTTCCGTGACTCTCTGTGCAGCTGTCTTCCTATTGTCGCACGAACCTGAATTGAATTCCTATTGTCCGCATGACGCGATCCCACCACCTGCTACTCTTGAACTCACTCTGTTGTTTCTAGACTTCAATTTGTCTTTCTTGTCGCTTCAACTATCGTTACTGGATATTAAACACACATCTAACAGCAAACCACTACTCGAATCACTCATCTGTCATAGCATCCTCAAAGCGCAAGTCTGACGACAGCGATTCCGACTGGGAAGGTGCACCCGGAGCGAAGCAACCCAAACCCGCGCCCGAATCAGGGACTGCTGAACTCCAGAAAGATCTCGGTAACTATGGCAGCGCATCTTCCCAACGCCCGGCACGAGTGAGGAAACCACCGGAAAGATACATCAATGCACCGCCCCAGCCGTCAGCCTACAAGAAGAAAGCGACCTCAGCCAAGGCCAAATCATCTACGAAGGAAGCTTCAGCTACAGCAAGGGGTGCTTCTCATCAGATTCAGGCTGAGCTTCCGGCACCTTCGGACACAATTGCCAATGGCATCGACAGCTCGTCACAACTACCGGAGAAAGAGTCCAAGATAGTCCGTCTCAAAGTCCCAGTCACCACATTCACACGCCAGCCAAGCCAGAAATATGACAACGAAAGCTCCGGTAGTGATCTATCGTCCCCGCCTGGTTCTTTGCCATCAACTCCGGTTTGTACAACCCTCCGACCCTTCGGTCATCAAGCTAATTTGCAAACAGATTTCCGCCTACAAGAACACCCAGACCTCTCTTCCGCTGGACGGACAAGGCCAATGTGCTCAGCGTATACTGGATCCCGTACCGGCATCGAGTCAGGATATTGCAACTCCGCCCGCCTCGCAAGAGGCTCTCCCAAGCCAGGCACACATATCGCAATCATGGGAACCGAATACGCCAGAGGACAGTATGCGCGACGTCCCAGACTTTGTCGATCACGCGCAAACACCGCCATCAATGCTTTCGAAGGAGGTCGACGGTCGCTTCGCATACCTTACGCCCGAATCGGCTATCCACTATGACCCGGGTGTCATACATGAAAAGTCGAACGTTGAGCTTGGGAACGGCCAGGTGCCTGAACAAGACTCATATCCAGCCCAGCCCATACTGGCTTTGGACTCGACCTGCGGAAGGTGTGGCGCAGCTGGGCACCAAGAGCATGACTGCTCCGCGGCTGTCTCTATCCCCGAAAATCGAGATCGTGGCGGACAAGTCGAGGCTTGGCTTCGAGCTGGCGATCCCGCCGACCAGACAAAGCCGCCCTGTGCTGGCTATGTTGGATCGATACCCAATCTGTATGCGGAATCAGAAGCAACAACGGATTGCGATGAATTCGTGGGCTCTCCCGTCGGCGAAGGATTCGACCTAGCCGACAACAAACACCTCTATGATATTACCGATCGACTTATTGCCCAGCAGAATAGAGGTTCGAACAAGCCAGAGCCGCACGGACAACCAGAAGTTTGGGCCGATGGACGGCAAGAGATCTGCGAGACGCTACATTACTATCGCGCATACCAAAGCGCTTGCTACTCCACTGGCGGCTTTGCAAGAGGCTTCATGTTCGACAAGGTTGCGCATGCTCGCGATTATATGGATACTAATGTCGTCATCTCACGTGCAGGCGGTGGTCTCGCGAAGGACATTGACTCTGGTGAGATGAAGTCAAAGAAGGACCAATCTGAAGACTCAGCTGCGCTAGGCTTGAGGAACTGCATGCTTCACTACAACCCAGTCGTCATCATCACCGGAGTCGACAACCCCAACATCCCGTCAAAGCCACCGCATCAGTACTGTGTCTTGGATCATTTCAAGCCCACCCATATTTGGGCCGAGAAGAGTGGTAACAGCAAGATTGTGCGATACCGCTTTGAGAAGCTGAATACCACGAAAGAGTCCTGGTGGAAGGAGAAGGATTCCCAGGAAGTTGTAGAGCTTGGCTCGCTGCCACCTCCAATTGAGAAGATATGTGGAAGCTGCGACTTGAAGTCTCAACAGATATACCTGAACGGATGGATGTGTCTGCAACCGACTTGCGCCGCCTTTTGGAAGATCCTCATGTCAACACTGGGACCCGGAACGAGCACGTCAGCGCAGGAGCCAAAAGAAGCCTCTTTGGTATATGACCCACGCTTTCTCAAGCAGAAGACTCCTTGGCACAATGACGACCACGATTACCCTCTGGTGTCTAACACTGCTGAGCTTTCAGGGCACTCCATTCCAGGTGAGGATACGTCAGTCGCATTCTGGTCTGGTATCGTGTGCCCTAGTTGTGGACGTTGCACATCCCGTTTAAACTGGACAAATTGGGAGTGTTCCAACTCAGCATGCCAATATACGAGGACGCCTCCGCACACGCTCATCCCCGCGTTTTCGCTTCACGATCCATTATGGCCAGTCACTAGCAGCTACACGCTGTCCAGAGATACGATGGCACCTCTGATTGGACTGAAGGTATCCTTCGAACGCGGATATCGCATCAACCGATATGAAATACCCGGCGTCAACGGATTCATAACACACATGGTTGCCAACAAGACGGTACTTGGTGAGGAAGGCGGTCCAGATGCCATGTTCGAGGAGCTTCAACAGACAGATATCGGACTACAGCGCCGGTCAATGCCGAATGGCCAGCTGAAGGGGCCTAATTACTGTCGTCATTTTGCAGTAAACTACGGCATGCCATACAAGTTCATCGCAGCGACAGCATCTCGCTTCTTTGATGGAGCCGCTCGCCCGATAACCAGCACTCGCAGTCGCCTGAACTGGGCTGCCCAGTTGCTCTTGACCCAAGAGACGGGCAAGAGCATGGAAGAGGTCACCCAAGAATGGCAAGAGAAGGAGTTCAATGAAGTTCTCGCATTAGGATACTTCGAAGAACAAAAGATCAACTACCACGATGACGGCGAATTTGGCCTCGGTCCAACTATCGCAACGTTAAGTTTGGGCGCACCAGGCACAATGCGGATCCGCATGAAAGCCCGCCACTACCACGGCGTATCCTCTGTCGCTGGTCTGTACGATGACGCTGCCCCAATACCTGGATGCGAACACTATGAAGCTCGTCTTGCACTTCAACCTGCTCTCGACGCGCTCAAGGTATCAGACTCCAAGGCGTATAATGCGAGGAGGAAGCAGATACCCAAGCAGTTGAAGCTCAACAACCGAGGCAATGCGAGAGATGCGTTGACCATGCAGCTCGGTCATGGCGATATTGTTATCATGCACGGCGCAGATGTACAGAAGTATTATGAACACGCTGTTGAGCACTCGGGTAAGCTGCGGTTTGCGCTTACTTGTCGGTACATCGACCCAACATCGCTGAAGGCTGAGGATCAGCCTCAATATGAGGTTGGGCCGGATGAGGAGCGGTATGATGGATCAGGACTGGTTTGAGTTGTCTGGCACAATCGAGAAGGAAGAAGGAGACTTTGGGTTATATACGGATTTCAACGACGCCAACCTCAGATAGCATGTTTGACTTGTGGTCGTATCTGGCGGATACCATGTTATGTCATGAAGGTGGGCATGTTTTGCATCTCTATACACAATTCATAACGGGTATTTAACTTTTGTTTCTTATGCACATCACCTCATGATTCTTTTGAACTTACATCTCCTGCTTCCACTCCTTGTTGAAGGCCCGTCCAATAACCATTCTCCTCACCTCACTCGTGCCAGCACCAATCTCATATAACTTAGCATCCCTCAGTATCCTCCCAACGGGAACCTCATTCATGTATCCCATACCGCCCATCAACTGCACGGCATCAGCCGCGACCTCACTCGCCCTCTCTGCCGCATACAGAATCGCTCCTGCGCAGTCCTGTGTCTTGATATCTGGACTAGCATGCGACTCATCCACAGCGCGGGCAACACTGTATGTGAACGCCTGACTAGCCCGGTATTTCGTGTACATATCCGCCAGCTTCCCCTGCACAAGCTGATTGTGCGCGATCGGTGTACCGAACTGCTTCCGCTGATGTGTATAAGGAAGGACATTATCAAGCGACGCCTGCATGAGACCCAGCGGCCCCGCTGAGAGTACAAGGCGCTCGAGATCCAGGCCCTCCATCAAGACGCGTACGCCGCGGTTGATCTCTCCCAACACGTTTTCCTTGGGGACAAAGACATTTTCGAAAACGAGTTCGCCGGTGTTGGAGCCGCGCATACCCAGTTTGTCTAGTTTGTTCGCGACGCTGAAGCCGGGGGTGGAGGTCTCGAGAATGAAGGCTGTGATGCCTTTGGAGGCGGCGTTGGGTTCGGTTTTGGCGTAGACGACTATTACGTGTGCGTCTGGGCCCTATCGAAAGCTTGTTAGCACATCTCGTTCTCCCTAGCAGTCTCATATATGAGCATAACAGGGAACGTACGTTGGTAATCCACATCTTCGTCCCATTGAGCAAATACCCACCATCCACCTCCTTCGCCGTACTCTTCATACTAACAACATCGCTCCCAGCACTATGCTCGCTCATAGCCAGCCCACCAATCTTCTCTCCACTGATCAAACCAGGCAGGTACTTCTTCTTCTGCTCCGCATTCCCGTTCAACATCAACTGGTTCACGCACAATTGGCTGTGTGCCGCGTAACTCAGTCCTATGCTGCCGCTCGCCCGCGACAGCTCCTCCATTACGACACAGTGGGCTTGGTAGCCCATTGCCAGTCCGCCGAACTCCTCATCCGCGGTTATGCCTAGGAAACCCGCCTCGCCGAACTTCTGCCACATTTCGTTTGGGAACTCATTTTGTTTATCCGTGCGCGCGGCGACGTCTTCGGGGATCTCGCGTTGGGCGAAGTCGCGGACCGAGTCGCGGAGCTCGTCGAGGTCGGATTGCGAGGGGGGTGTGAAGGCTTTGGGGTGCTTGGTCGATGCGTGGCGGGCTGTGGTGGTGGAGAGGATGGCGGCGCGGGGGACGCGTGTTGAGCGGATGCTGCGTGTGAAGAGGCGGGGGGCTAGGGAGGCCATTTTGATTATGATGTAAACTGGATATTGAAAGGTCAAAGGAAAGTCGTCAAGAAAAGTGGTGAGATGTTTGACAATACCGTCTTGGGAGTTCGGTTTGCGACGGCTGATGGACCGAGGCACCTTCCTAACTGATGGATTGCGGAGGACCAGGGTCCGGGGAAGAGGGAAGCGGCGTAATTCCGCTCTCCCTTCCCATCTATCATAGACTATCAACAAGCCTCTACACAACCAACGAGCCCTCAAAGATCCTTGACACGCTTCATCGCCCTGTCATTACACTCGCCCACATCCAGTGCGACCAAAAACCTGCTCACGGCATTATACGCCGCAACCGTCGCCGTCAACTCCACAACCATGGTATCCTCCAACACGCCCTTGACCATCTCCGCAACCATGTCTTCCACCTGCACACCCACAGTCATCTGATCCGTATAAACCATAACTGCATACTCCTCCTTGCTGAACCCCAACAGCCCCTCCCTCTCCACCATCCCATGTTTTGTAACAGGTAAATCAAAGATAGTCTGAAGTACTTCTTTGGACACTCCTGCTTTCAGTGCCAGAGCGGCATGTACATCCCACTCGTGGACTGCGTGGTTCAGCACTGCGATGCGGCTTATTGCTAGTTCTTTCAAATTGGCTGGTAAGCTGGTTTGCGTGCGGATTGCGCCGATGAATGAGTTCCAGCCGTCTGCTACCGCGGGGTTATGTAGGAGCGCCAGATCGAGTGGGATGAGGGGGCGCGGCTTTCGTCGCTCGGCGATGCGCTCGTAGACTGGGCGGGCTTCTTCATTTGGAGGCTCGCTTGGGGCGTAGGGGACGCGCATCTTGAATGTAGTTGTAGAGCTGAAGGGTCGTAAGTGGATGGTGGGTGGGATGAGTCGAGTCTGAGGGCGGACGGTTGCTAGGTATGGGCGGAGGAACATTGGATGCGAGGAAGCAAGGAAAGAGGGAGATTATATATCACTCTTGTGCATATGCAGGGACTATCACGGATATACTTTCCGGTATACGGAATAGCAAGGCATGGCACTGGTGAGCAATGCTAGTTGTTCAGATAAAATTGAGTAAATCAGGTTTTTGAAAGATCATTCGATCAAAGATTCATTCATGCGTAGTTTCCAAAGATCCCACTGTATGAAATATATACATGTTCAACACCACAAAAGACGAACTAATCTACAATCTGCTCTGCTCATCAAAGACATTCGGTAACCTAGGGATACCTTCCAATCTAGTCGTCTTCTTACCCGCTGGCGCAAGTGTAACATTGTATGTCAAGTCGAGCTTCGCCTTGGGGTCCTTGCTAGGCTCAAAGTCTAGCAGCAGATCGTCCTTGACGGCAAAGACAGTGTCGTTCGAGACCCATTGGTCGTCGCGGGGGTATAATTGCGTAATGAGCGGCTTGTAGTTCTCGGCTGAAACCATGAGATGGATGTGTGCGGGACGGAAGGGGTGGCGGTCGAGAGTCTTGAAGAGTTGGCCAGCGGCGCCTGTTGTGTGTTAGTCTTGCTCATAAGATATCTTTAGAGGATAACATACCATCGGTAGGCAGCGAGTACGCTGTTGGCTTGTAGCAGTAGTACCAGTACTCGCCCTTCTCGTTTGTGGTAAACTTTCCTCGCAGGTTGTTGGGCTCCTGGTTCTCGGGATCTTGGAAGTCGTACTTTCCGTTTGCGCTCGCTTGCCAGATGTCGATGACTGCGTTGGGAATGCCCTTCTTGGTGTCGAGATCCATGACTACACCGTGCATGAGAGTGGTTTGGCCATCGGGATGCGGGTTTCGGATAATGGTGTCGCCGAGGTCGCGGAATGGCGAGTGTGGTGACCAGAAGGGACCGAGGATTGTGGAGGAGGTGGGTGTCTCGCCAGACTCGTTGATGTGCTTGTGTGCGATCTCGTCGACCAATCTCGGTAAAAGTTAGTATGACGTTTGGACTTGCTGAAGGTTTGGAAACTTACGATTCTACACCTAGAACATCTGAAATACGATGCGCCTCGTTCCTGGTGGCTGTTGTGGTCTTGCCAATGGAGTTCACAAACCGCACACCCTCGAACCACTCCTCGTTGGTCAGCTCGACCTCGCGGATGAAGTCGTGGAGATGTCTAATCAGCTTGCCCATGACAAAACGCGTCCGGTCTGGCACATTTGGTCCAATAGCGTTGATGACGGCGTCGGTAAAGTTGGGGTCGAAGCGGTGCGAGCCATTCTCCTGAACCTCAGGCGCTGTCTGTGTGTTTGGGTCCATTTTGGATGTGTAGTTATATAGGGAATCAAGGTACAAAGGGTATCAAAGAGCTGGTGAAGGGAAGTAGTGCGGAATAGACATAATGCCTGGGAGGCATGAGCTTAATAAATAGTAGCTGAATTCTACCGTCCGCAGCCAACCGAACCGATACCGTTGACAATGGCCGTCTCTCTAGCCGCGGATCAGGCGAGACCTTGTCAGAGCTGTCTGGCGGCATGCTGTACCGGCTCTCAAACGTACTATGAGCGCGAGGAGCTACAGTGCCGAAGGCTGCGCCAGGTCGCGACGGCTGCCCCGCCTTGCGCTGGGCGGGTTGGCGAATTAAAAGGGAGCCGATGTGGAAGAAGTCTTACCCGGCCTTTTTCCCTCGCAATTTAGCGTCATCAGCACTAATGCCCCGCCTTCGGCGCAGACCCCGGAAGTCTAGAGACGCGACGCGATGGCTGGATTATCGCAGAGTGGAGGGAGGATTCGGAATACATCCCAGAGTGACAGCTTTTGCTGCGAGCTGTTTGTTTACACGCAAGACACGTTCCGTGCAAGGAAGCAACCACCAACATGGTCAAACATCACCTCATGATCGGCACTTGGACGCCGCCAGGTGTGATCATCACAGTCGCATTCGATGATGAAACATTGAAGCTGGAGTTGGTAAAGAAGACGGAGATCCCAGAGGATGAGCCCATAAGCTGGATGGCTTTCGACGTATGCGCGCAATTCCTGGACCTCGATGCGACCAACAACAGCTGATGATCAGGATAACAGCACAAGAGAAAGAACATCTACGGTGCTTCTATGAAGAAATGGAGCTCGCACGAGGTCAAGAGCCCGAGTGAGATTGTACACACAGGAAGCTTTCCCATGGGCGGACATCGTAAGCGACGCAACATCAATGCAGGTTGCTGTTACTGACAGGTTTCGCAGCCAAAGCAAATGATGCCGACACCAAGACGCGTGCGATCTTCCTCCTTCCCGCCCAGAAGCCTCCGTATGCCGTATACTGCAACCCTTTCTACGACTATGCTGGCTACGGCAACATCTTCTCAGTCAATCCCGAAGGGCACATCAAAGAGAACATCCAGAACTTCGAGTACTGCGACAAGACTGCCATCCACGGTATGGTCTTCGACCCCTTAGAGACCTATCTCTATAGCGCGGACATGTGGGCCAATCGGGT